TCTCTCCACAGCGGTCGCCTCTCTCAATTTCTTCTATGGCCACTTGGAAGACGGAGAAGCGGAATTGCAGAAGCTTCTGATGGATTCGGCTAAGAAGGAGGCCCCCGCTGTGATGCACAAGGAGAAGGCCTCCGAAGAGGACGTCGATAAGATGGTCGAATGGGCCCTGAACATGAATACAGCCAAAGCAACAGAAGACTGTTGCATTATTTTGCTTTCGTACTTAGCCTTCCTGCGGATAAGCGAAACGGCGGCGGTTCGTAAGGAGCACCTGCAGGCAAAAGGCGGCGATATTTGGTGGCTGCTCATTCCAAAATCCAAAACAGACCAGAGCAAAAGAGGTACGGAAGTGGCTTTCAAAGTGCAAGGAAGACGCGCAGTTCTTTGGAACAAGTTCGTCGCGCTGATAGCCGACAAATCCCCCCACCAATTCATTTTTTCACCAGTAAGTGATTACTTACTAATGTTTAGATCAGTCTTCGATTGTATCGTAACTAAATTCCTTGTTTTAGAAGTTTGCACATCAACCGTCCACCGATTCTCTCCGAAAACGTATAGACAATGTCCTCCAAGGAGCGGGGTTGCTTCATAAGGGCTTTACATCGCATTCCTTCCGAGGAGGTGCAGCAACAGCCGCTCTGAGAAGAGGAGTTAGCTGTGAGGACATAAGAAGAGTGGGACGTTGGAAGGCTTCGACCTCTATGCTGCACTACCTAGACCCAACACCCATATGATACTCAGAAATGTAGTGCTTCTGGGACTAAAGTCAATTGTTGCTGCCTACCAATCACTAGGCTTATTTTACTCTGCATAATCTATATTGCTAGACGCATTAAAATAATTATGAGTTTTCAGTTCTCTCTGATATGTACAGGTACAGGTACACACGAACAAGGACGGACAAGTAAACAAGATGCTCTACCATTGTAACATTTGTTGAAAATGTCGTAAATGTTAATGTGCTAAATTCTAATCTACTTCTATGTTCCGTCCATTTCAGTGATATATTGATGTACATATATGTATTTTGCAAACGACTTAAGGATTATTGATGATGGCATAATAACCAGGAATAAAGCCGTTCTCCCGACGAGTTAGCCAGCAAAATATAGTTTTTGACGAGGGTAGGAGTCAAAAGCTAATTTTCGCCGACTTCACTTCCAACTTCAACGACTAAAAAATTCACAAAAACTATATCCTCAACCAAAGCTTTTTTGATATTCTTATACTACGAGAAGTTTCCTATCAGATGATATATAACTTGCTTGCAAAACGTTTCACTTTTCGAACAAATTTTTCAATTGAAAAAAACGGCCATTACTTATTAGCCAACCTAATACTTTCAGAGCTCAGGACTTGGACTTCTTCGTGTCAAGTCGGAGTCCATTCTCAGCGAGCGCATCCTGCCACGTTTTCACCTGCCCTAGAATTCGTTCTGCTGTCCCGCCATCAGTTCAATCTCGCTAGCTTAGAGGATAGTCTTCAGTGGTCTCTTCATGAATCGTTTTGCCAGACTCATAACATCCAGGGTTAGGCGGAAGAAAAGGGCTGAGAGCTGATTGCTGTTTTGGTTAACCCAACGGTGATGCATACCTTTTTTTGTCAAGCCGTGTGGGGTGCATACAGCTGCCCTAGTTCTATGCTACATGTCCTTCTTTGGAGATCAGATGCTCCAGGACGTTTTGTCCTCTGAGCGCTCTCTAGACTTGAGGTAAGCAGCCAAACCCTTTCTCATGGTCCAGAAAGTCTTGGCAGCAAGACCGCCTCTCCTCTAGATACATCTCCACCACCTGTCTGGCAAAAAAAGCTGCAGCAATTGCACCTGCGAAATAGGTGTGAATTCCATCGGCATTGTGTCGGCTAGCCGCTCGTACAGTTCCATGGTATGCGGAGTCCAGATGGTGCCGCGGTAATTGGAGCACTTTTCGCGCCTAGTTTCGCAATGCTGGACAAGAGGGAGAGGACTGTGCTATGGCCCCCACTCTACGACCGGCATCCTTCCTTCGGCTGCTACGTTTTTTAGGGAAGGGATTTACCGCGCGATCTCCAAGGGTCTTCCATGCCTCTAACGGCACCCTATCTGGGCTTAGCGCCTACCTGGCCTTCATCCTTCCTGACTCGCTGCGGGCCTGATCCTCTGCCCAGGGGGTGATGGGACCTGCCGTTGACATCTGTGGGCTGTCTCTGTAGAGGAAATTCTTCGTTCTGGCTTTCTATTGAATTCGCCTGTTTTCCTAGAAATGGCAACGTTGCACGGGCACCAGATCAGAGCATCGAGCGGATTGTGGTGCACACACGGTCAGTACTGCCCAGCATCCCTCGTTCGTGTCTACTCTTATGTCTTGTACAGCGCTATGGTAGGATTCAGACCTGAAGCTATTTTGTCCCCCTCTCGGTCTCCATCTTCTCGTACAGAGCGTCCATTTCCTTATTCTTTACCTTGGCAACGGCCGGCTTAGCGTATTGCTCCTTGTCTTTTGCCAGCGTTTGTACGGTTGGTTCTCCAGCTTAACGATATCCTTCCTTCATTGGACTTCCTCATTTTAAAACCCCGCTGCTTGTCTCCTCTGGATCCACCTTGCGTTTCTCCTAGGATCCTCGCACCTTGTAGGATGACTGCGTTGGTCCAGGTGCCTTGGACCGGCGCGCGTGGGTCTGTGAACCGAACCTTCAAAACTCCTATAGCACAGCAATTTTTTTCCACTTTGTGCATTTTCCTCCAAAGAAGTCTCTTTTTACCCATTTGTTTGGAAAGGTTAATGAAGATACCTGTCAGGATAGCTTGTGCTGAAAGCCCAACTCTTCTCCAGGCAGTGCCTTGACATCCTTGACAGTTTTGAGAGACGATCTTCTCACCAGACATGGTCGATTTCCGTTTGTCTCCCTCCACTGCTGTAGGTTATCTTCTGATTCATTCTTTTCTTTTGGCAGCGGCAGTGGCAAGGAAGGGATGGATATCGATCTAGCGTCACCAGCGTACGCTAGCGTAACGCTAGAGTATTCTAGCGTACGCTAGCGTAACGCTAGAATACTCTAGCGTTACGCTGGCGTACGCTAGCGTAGCGAGGGCAAGGAAAGCATAGGTATCGGTCTAGCGTTTTCCAGGTATATATGTATCGACACATGGCCGACTCCGCCCATTCTCTAAAGGGTTTGGCAATCTAGGCCCCGCCCCCTTGACCACGCCCACTTGCTTTTCGCGGAATTTTGCCTTTTTTCAAAATTTTTGCATTTTCGGACTGCTGCGTGAAGCCCCGCCCACTGTGAGAGGCTCCGCCCACTTCAAGAAGCCCCGCCCACTTTTCAAAAATGGTGCAAATCGGCAGTATAGTCTCGGCTGGCATGCTAGGGTATTGCTGATCATTCGGAACAAACTTTGCCTGATTTTCTTGTTCCGAGTGACGAACGAGACCCTAGCCGCGACCCT